TTTGAAACTTCAACAGGATCTGAGGGTCCACTTGCGATGACAGTTACGAGGATTGCGAGGATTTGAAGGTCCAAAAACGATGACAGTTACGAGGATCGCGACCCCAACCCCCATGATCCCTGTGACTGTTGACATTTTTGAAGCTCCACGCGGATCCGAAGGCCCAAAAACGATGACAGTTACGAGGATCGCGAATCCAACCCCTTACGATCCTTGTGACTGTTCGAGAAGCCAGAAAACAAAAAAAAACACAAAAAAATGAAAAATCTTAAATGAGTTTCGCACCCCTTCCCAAATCGTGCTTGGTGAAACCCAATGCGAGGTAGCACTGACAACTTGTCGTCGCTTCTGGTCACAGCTTCCGGTCAGAGCTTCTGGTCAAAGCTTCTGGTCACAGCTTCTGGTCGCAGCTAGCCTCTGGTCAGCGTTCTCTGGTCCACGGTTCTTGCCCAAAAATTGTCTGGCTGTTCCTCCACAACAAAATACACTTCTGCAACAATCCAAAAGACCTCGTGACTCAAGCACTGCACCTTGCAGACCACATGACACGCGCCAACCAAGCAACCAGCAACGGTGCTGCTTGCTTTTTGCAAGACACTGTTTCAAGTTTGCAAGTGACCAACTCAACTTGTCAAGGGAGACGGCTGCGGACATGAATGACAAAGTTGTTTGCAACAATCTTGGAAGGTTCAAACAAATGTGCACTTTGCGGCTTGACGAATGAAACCAGACTGTCTCCAACAAGCTGTCAACAAAGATTTCGCACAGATCCATGCTCGCTCTTGGCCACATGGGCATCACCAGGGAGGAAAAAAACGTCCTTGTCGCGTCATGTCTTCTCTTTCAGGGACTCTCTTTCGAGGATTCACGACAAGCGCCCTATGGGAAGGCCTGCCGAATCACACTTGAGTTTGAGTCACATGGACACGAAAATTGGCACGCTCCCAGATCAACTGATGTTCACGACTTCCACAGGCTCATGTTCATTACACTCTTTGTGGATACCAGCTGCAAGGCTGTTGCCCAGATACTCCACATGCAGGTACGTTTTCCTAGACTTTCAAAATGAGCTTCGTTGGCGACGCATTCTTGAAAATCCCCGTCGCTCCCTGCATATATGACATGAGCACGGCTCTCAATGGTGTTCCCAAGCACTCAAAACATCATGATCATGTCGATTTCTTCGGTTCTCGCGTAAAAATATCACAAACATACATGAAACATGTGTGTGGCACCACCGGTTCACGCTTGAAACTCCGCATGTACAAGTCTGCTGTTGATATCTGTTGATGTCGTAACCCTTGGAGACAGGGCTTCTCACACGCGGCCGCGGAAGGGTTGTCGCTTGAGTCACTTCTTTTACTTTTACCATTTCAGAAAATGCATGAACATGCAGTTGTTATGAGGTCCAAAATCGTGCCTTTTGTATGCCAACGACCATGTGCGAGTTTGTGCGTTTCACCGTCGTTTTGGCACAGTTTCAGACGAAGTGGTGCTTGCGAAAAAAGGGGCGTTTTCGTGCGGAACGCGGGCCATTTTCAAAGTCCTTCTCATGTTTCCTTCATGGTGCTTGCTTGTATCTGCCATGCGTCCCCAGCCAGTAGTTTGCTCTAGATGAAAATTTAGAACGTATGTAGCCCGAAAACACCCCTGGTGTCAAAAGTGGCAAACGCCCCCCTTAACAGCTGCATTCATGAAACGAGCCCATGACTGCATGTCTTCATTTTCATCGCTCCCCCAACCGCCCCTGCGGCTCAACCCCCCAATTCTTTAGCAGCAAACACTGTGCCTGGGAAATCCCATCGACGCATAGCACGAACTACATGGTCTAATCTCCATCCATGTTTTGCAGATCGAGGGTAGGTGCCCCCACATCCCCCACAAACCTCCTGCCATTTCTATCAAGACTTGGCCAGAACTACATGAGCGACCGCTTTTATCCGCTTTGATTATCGTGTAGGAGCCAAGAGCAGGCAGAGATAAAATCCAGGGACATAAGCAAAACCCTAGTAAAGCGATAGGGCGCCCCCCCCAAAAGCGATACCCCTGAAATGGATGACAGCACTGTGCAAAAAGCCTGTAAAGCGATCGGCCCCCTCCCAAAGCCATTGTTTACTTAGCTGTTTACTACTAATAATTTGAGTAGCTGCTCACATGTTCTTATTTTCGTCCATGTCTTGTTTTGCACTTGCGAGGGAGGAAGGAGGGGGGGAACAGGGGGGCAGCATTTTTTTGAAGCAAACGCAATGCCTGTGAACTCCTATCGACCTATCGAAACGCGGCGCAAACTATAATCTGTCGTCTGCGTCCTCGTGTGTGCACACCTGCAATCCACTGGTCTTTTCTTAAAGCGAACGCAATGACCGGGAAATCCCAGCAAAACGTAACAACGTAGCAAAAAGTGCATGTTCTTATTGTTGTCCATATGTTTCAATTAATTAGGTGGAGGGGTCTGACACCCAACCCCTCCGCTGTTTTGAATAAAAATGCAGCTTTGGAGCCCTTTTTCAGAGCTTAACGACATGATCCATGTTTTTGTTTTCTGCATGTTGCAAATTGCGGCTATGGTCCTCCCAAACCCCGCCATTGCTGCAAAGCAAACACAATGGGTGGGAATTGCGATCAAGTCCTACATTGAATAAGAACATACTGTTGCCGGCCCAGGGTAGCGGCAGTCTGGCTTTCTTCTTCTAGAAGCGCCTGTAGCTTTTGGGTTTTGGCAGCGCTTAGACGTTATTTTGCAATCCCTCGTCCTGCGCATGAAGACCCCGCCTTCTCCAATGGCAAAGAACAACCACAGCACACATGTTATCCTATTGGATATGTTTCTTCGAGGGGGCCAGGCATTCGAAGGGGAGGGATGGGAGCGGTTCATGAGTACAGCACTGCGGCCGCAAAGCAGCAGAGGCTTGAGAAAGCCCTGTGTGAGTTGCCTGGAGGCTTGGGGAGCTTGGACTTGCTTGCTTCAGCCTCCCAAGCCTCCCTGAAGTCAAAACCAAGCTGAATAAGCAAATGTCTTCTTCCTGAGCAGTGCGGGAGGCTGGGAAAGCACTTTCCCAGCCTTCCGCACGGCTCTGGCCGAGTGAATAATCAGGACCACTTAGGTTTCGGAAATACCTTTCAAGGTGGCTGAGAGTTTACAGGGCTTCATTCGAATTTGAAGTCCTGCAAGCCACAAACGCCCAAATCGGAACATGCAACAATCAGGCCAGGGGGTATCTTTTTTCATTTTACTAGCACGCGCAGCTTTGTCACATGGAGGGTTGCAGGGGCCAAGCGCGCGCTCTCATTTGATCCAATGTTTTCTTAAGCACTTAGTGCTGTCGGTGTACATGTTCTCGATTTCCAATAGCCAATATCTCACGTTTTTTGCAAATGCTTGGCTTCGTCTGTGCTTGGACAACAATGGGCTGCGCCTGCCCCAACCTCGGATCCATTTTTGAAGAGCAATAAGTTGGAAATCTTATCGGAGCATAGCAAGAAATACATGTTCTTGTCTTCGCCAATGTTCTGCAACATGCTTACACCTTGAGCTCCGAATCGCGCGTGGAATTCTTCACGTGCTTGCGCTCTCGCATGGAACATCCTCACACTTTGACCCGAAATCGAGCTCTCGCATCCAGCGTCCCCACAATCTGATATGAAATCCAGATCTCGTCTCGCATTTGCCCTCTAAACTCTGAATTGAGCTCTCACGAGTAGCGTCCGGACATTTTGCTCAAGCTTACGCTGCACGAAATCAAGAATTCGGATGGAGTGTCCTCGCAAGTTTCATAGAAAATCGCCCTCGTACCACGTGGTGCGTCCTCATATTCCCCCTCCAGCGGTCGTCTGGAGACATGAAATCAGAGGTCACCAGGTCAGTGACCATCTCATGTCGAAGTAACTTTTCTGTTAGTCATGATGACAATTTGGGAGGTTTCCACATCGGCATGATTGGGTGGGCGCACCGAGTTCATGCTATGGCTCACCAAGCAGGAACCAAGCAGGTGCTTGCCATGGGAGCTTTTCACGAAGTTTCTTTTCAATCTTTTTGGGCGGAACTGGAGCCTAGGTTTGGGCTGGATGCTGATGGCCACGTGCTTGTGTTTGGGACTGCTGCGTGACCGGGAAACCACAAGTGCAGGATGTAAACAGCACCAATTTAATCATGACTGCAAACATGCGTGAAAATGTCTGATGTCAGCAGCACTTTATGCTTTGCCGGCTGCAGCCAACGGTCACCGTGCCTCTTCAGGCATTCAAGGAGAATCCATGCCTCAGTCAAGCCTCAACCGATTTTGACTCGAACGTTGCAGTCACGAGGAAGATGCAAGTATGCTGGGATGATCAGTCCCACATTTCTCGTACTTCTACCACGGAGAAGATTTGCGAATTCATCACCCGGGTCAGGCTTCCTGCCAGGCAGGTCTCGCATGCACGCGCACAGCTGCACGCCTCTCAAGCAGAGGTGGCACCACTGACGGATGTTGTCCTGAGCAACGCCCAACGAGCGAACCACGTTGCACCCAAATCGCCACATGGTGCTCGTAACCGGTTCCAAGGAAGGGACAATGTAAAGGCTGCAAAACCTTTCCGGCAATCAAGCAAGCTTGGGCAAAGGTCAGAGGTTGACAATACTGGCTTTAGTGGCCATTGGATCGCGCTGTTTGTGACATGCCGGTCAGGAGTCAGATTCCGTTGCTAGTTACTCATGCAGTCATTTTTGCTGCTTCACAGAACTGCTTCAGCTCACCGTTGGTCAGCTCGGCCTTCGTGCATGGGCCTTGGGCACGGCTTCCGAATATCAGCGCTCCCAGATCTTACTGTAGTTGGTGTCCGTTTGAAGCGAAGTTTTGAAGCCGCCAAGCACATCATTCTGAAACAAACTCTGTTGGGATTCTAGCCAGACCAATTGGAAGAGTTTCTTGTCACCCGTCACGCGTTCTTTTGCACGATTGGATCCACAAGCTTGTTTTCCTGTGACTGATTCCATTCAAAAAGTGCGAGGCCTGGCCGCCATGGCATCGACAATGAGTCTGGTTGGAATTGAGAGCGCAGTGAGCTGTGCAAGCGTAGACTGGGAGGCCTTCTTGCAACCCCTGCAAGCGCGCCAATACTTTTCTGCGGTCCCCCGCCGTGGCACCCGCGGCATCCTGCAGAATACGGATATGAACAGTGACGACAGAGGCAAGCAGACGGCCGGCACTATTCCATCACCTCACAACAGCGCGCTGGACTGGATTCTCGCTGTACTGTCTGATTTGATCGGTGAGGTTGATCCTGAGGATCCATTAGCAGCAGCTGGCCTGGATTCCCTTTCAGCGGTGGAGTTCCGACGAAAGCTCTCGAGCGACAGCGGCATACCATTGCCGCAGACTCTTGCCTTTGATTATCCGACCGCCCGCGAAGTGGCGGCTTATGTCGGAACTTGCCAGGGGCAAGCGCGAGAAGCAATGGCAGCGCAGTATGTGGAGCTCAGCAAGCCTAGAGATATCTCCGTGCAAGGCAAAGCATGCCGCTTCCCTGGAAATGAGCCAAAAAGCTTAGCAGGAGATGATGCTTGGCACATCTTCCTTGGACAAGTAGATGCCATTACAGAGGTCCCACTTCAGCGGTTTGACATCAATGAGTGCTTTGATGCAGACATGGCAGGGGCAGGTTTCATCACATACGCTAGGCATGCTAGCATCTTGGAAGGGACGCATCTATTCGACCATCGGCTATTTGGAATTTCAAGCAACGAGGCTTCTGCAATTGATCCGCAACAGCGCAAGAATCTTGAGGTGGCATATGCCGCTTGCCACCATGCTGGGCGGTCGCGTAAGTCACTTTCCAAAGCTTCAATTGGTGTCTTTGTTGGACAGTGTGCAAATGACTGGGCCAAGACTTCCCGAGATCGAAAAGCAAGTACGTTCATGGGTCCTGGGACCCACGTGGCCGGGCATGCTTCATTTTTTTCTGTGGCATTTTGTTCGTTTGAAGGGAAAGAAGGTACAGCGCAATTGTGCATTCACACACAAAGGCAGGCTGTTTAGTGTACTTGGCGGTTGTTGCGTGTTGTTAAGTCCTTCGCTTACTCTAGACTGTAGACATCCTGCTTGGAACTGGGATCACGTGGGCCAGAATGCAGAACTGTTGCGAGGCCGGCTTGGCCACGGATGTGGAATCTTTTGATCTCCGCACGCGGCATGAACCGGACCCCTCTTGCCCCTCAGAATCCAAGAAAGTCAAACGATGCCTGTTGGTGTCTGCAAAGGCAAGGCAGGGTGTACTTCGGGGCCGAGTGTTGGTGCGAGTGGATGGAGCATAGTTACTCCTTACATGCCAACCTCCTCAAGGCTTCCGTGTTTAATGAGGAAAGCTCCAAGTCCTGCACCGACTCACAGCTCCCGTGCATGATTTCCCAACTTCAGATAAGTGCATGTTATGTATTGGTCACGCAGGCACGGTTTATGCTGGCCTTACCTACACCATCCCCGTGTATCCTCAGACCCCACCAAATTTCAAGAGTGCCAAACAAGCAGAAGGCGGGAAGAACGGTAGAGCGTTGGCTTTCCATGCTTGGCTTGATTCCCTGCAATTGCTGTGCGTTTTCTTTCCACTCGTTTCGCAGCATCTTCTCACAAAAGCCTACGCTGATTTCTCATCCGCCCGCAGTCTTCTCGGCCACTTATGAACTTGTTGTACTATACAAGTTTCAGTTTGCTTCTTCAATGACCTATCAGCTAGCATCGCACGGAGGGCTGCGTAGGTCAAGGCTTGTGTGGAGGCTGCACGCGTCGTCATTCATTGAACGCGCATGAGGGTACTGTAGCCAAGAGATCTTAAATTAGCCGCAAATTCTGCTTCTTCTTGAGTTTTGGAGAACAATGCGTGCCCACTTGTAGCTGATGTTGCCGTAGCCTGAGGCAAGCATCTCAGCAAATCGGCTTTCTTTTTGCCTTGGACTGGAGGGAGCCAGCGTTGCTGTGGACACAGCTTGCTCGTCTACGCTGGTGGCATTGGACATTGCAATATTGCGTCTCTGTAAGGGGCTTGAAGCAGTTATTTGCAGCGGCGGGCAGTTGAATCTGATCATAGAGACTTGGCCAGAAGTGAAGGCGCAGACAAAAAAGGCAACAAAGACACGTCGGATGAAACCAGCATAAAATCGCAAAGCTCAGGAACCATTCGTGGCATTCAGCAATGGCAGACTGCTTTCAGCAAGCGGGCGATGCAGGACGTTTGATGCATCTGCAGATGGTGCCTCATCTGCAGTCGGCTAGAGGAGTGCATAACTATTCTCGCGCTCCAACAAGTTGAGGACAAGCAAGAGAAGGAGTTGTGTTGATCAGCTTTGGTGTTATGCAAACCCTGGTTGACAGGAATCGTGGGAGCGAACGGGGCAAAGAGGAATGCATTCATATACAAAGCGCCATCCTCATGGTTATAATCGCACTCGCTGTAGATTGTAGCTGTCATCCTGGTCGTTGTGGTCACCGGTCACCCGCATCATCATCATCATCATCATCATCATCATCGTCGCCATCTGTTAAATCAGCAGTGGCATCATGTGTCTGCTTGCACTTGGCCTTGCATCCGAATGGCTCTGTCAGCACGGGGAGGGAAGCGGCGTGGTTGTGCTTGAGGAAATACGGGTGTGCAGGGCACAGGGCAGGGCCTTTACATAAGGGGGCTGGGTCTCCATATCTAGATAGACAGGGTCTTAGGCACTTAGGGGCCATTTAGCGGCAGGTCCCGGCTACCATATTCACATTGGTAGCGGAGCCCGGCCTGTCATAGTGATAGGGTATCACTGTGCAAACAGGGGGTATTCAGGGGTGTTCTACCTAGTTGGGGAGACTAGATAGAAAAGGGGAAGGACCTGGGAGCCATGGAAGGCGAAGCAGAGCTGGAACCGGAAGCGGGGGCGGAGCAGCCTCACACTTGCCCTGGCAACTGATTCCAAAGTTCACCCAGGGGTGACCAACGTCGATGAATGTTAAGCGGCTCCAGTTCTTGAAGGAGATGTGGCCTCCGGAGCATTTGGCTCTGCTGGGCCCACGGGCGGCCTTACTTGTGGAAGGCGCGGCCTTTCAGAAGGTGAGCCGCATCGCGAAAAGCTGAAAAGCACGGAAGGAGTCCGAATTCTGGCAGAGCAGCTGGGAGGAGCCTGGGGCAGGCTCCAGGTAGAAGACAAGTTCCACTACTTCGAGCAGGCCATTTTCCAGAGGCAGCAGTGCCAGGATAGAGCAATGACTCCTACATCGCCCGCCACGACGCTCAGTTCGAGGAGCTTTTGTCAAGAAATGTGCAGCTGGAGGAGATAAGAGCCTACATCCTCCTCCGTCACTCGCTCTTGTCGCCGGAGGATAAGAAAAGAGTGATAGTGGAATTGGGAGGTGATCTCAAGTACAAGGAGACCATCAAGGCGGTCCGGTTACTGGGCTCCCGATTCTTTGGAGAGCTGCAAAACCGAGGTAGTTCTGGCGGCAGGACCGTGGAGAAGACCAAGGTGTACGATGTGAACATGACAGAAGGCGAGCCGACCGAGAGCGCTTTCTACGCCACACAGGAAGAGGAGCCAGATCAGGAGGAGATCTTCGCGTACTTCTTCGAGCAGTGCGACGAAGATGCCATCTATGTGGCGGAGTTCGAGGACGGCATAGTGGAGGCAGTCCAGCCAGAAACAGATTACGGGAAAAAGCCCGGTCAAGTGGCTTGTGGCCAATTGGCAAAGGCGCCGGCAAGAGCAAGGGCAAGACTTTCGGCAAGAAAGGTGGTGGTGCCAGCCAAGGCAAAGGAAAGCGGTCTCGCTCACTTGCAGAAAGGATATCGACATCGTCTTGCAGGCTGCGCGGGGCGGTTGGACACTGGAAAAGGGAATGTCCACGGAACATTGACAACCAGACCAACCAGAACAAGATCGAAGTGTCCCACTTGACCATGGAGGGCGCCAACGACAGTGACAGCGACGAGAACGACGAGCAAGTCCCCGAGTTTCTCCAGGAGTTGCCCGAGGACGCGATCATGTACATGGAAGACCTGGAGATAGATGATCGCCAGGCGCGTCAGCATGTGCAACAGGCAGGAGACAGAATTCATGTCGTAGAGCCGTGCTGTTTTGCATCGCCAGAGGTGAAGCCAAGCAGGTGTATAGTAGAGGCTCTTGCCCAAGTAGACGCAAGTCTCGGACGACCAGAAAGCCGCCACCTGAGGCAGGGAAGAGTGCAGAGCACCAGAATTCTCAAAGTGAAAGGGTTGACAGGGTTATCCTTGTAGCCACTGTTGGGGCCGAGGGGGTTCTAGATACCGGAGCAAGTAGGACCGTAGTGGGCCATGAAAGAATAAAAGGGATTCTGGATAGTCTTGGTGAAGAGTGCCGCAGAAAGATTAGGAAGGTGAAGTCTCACGTGACCTTCCGTCTTGGAACAGTGGCACAGCCTTCAGCGGATCAATCCGGACGACCACCGCAAAGCCCGAGCAATCCCCTGACTCGATCCTCTCAACATGCCGAACCAAGCCGAGAAGAAGGGCATGTCGCAGACCCTCGAGAAGGTGAAGGCCCGCATCAACATGGAGGAGGAGCTGTCAGGCGAAGAGGACGTTCGCCTGGTCGTGCAGGGTGACCTGTCGGAGTTCGAGAGGGTGACCTACACCCGGCCACCAGGCGTAAGCGCCCTGGAAGCCTGGGGAAAAGTCAAGTTGACGGATGGCAAGCACCGGGCTCAGTCACGAGCAAGCCTTCGAGCAGGACCTCGACTACGTGTTGTGGATCGTTCGCCGCAAACTCAAGGCACCCTGGGCGCTAAGCTTCCCGAACTATGCCAAGGCCAGACTCCGAAAGTCGGCGAGAATCCTTCTGGCCGAGAGGACCGAGCCAACGAAGGAGAAGCCGGAGCCGACGGACAAGTTCGCCGAGAACAAGGGCAAGCCAAAGAACGACGACAAGGACGGCTGGGAGTGCCTGCCCGACACAACCCGGGGCAGCGAGCCAGTCAAGAAGCGGGCCGGCAGGTCCGGCAGCAGCCAGGACATGAAGATCGACATCGACCCCGAGGAGCTGGCGCGTCGGAGAGCGCTCCTGCAGTGCGAGTCTTCAACCTCCAGCAGATCGAGGAGCAGGCGCGGCGGCAGTCGAAGCAGCGCCCGATCGACGACTTCTCCGAGGAGGAGACCTGAGAGACCGCTTGGCGACTTTTGATGCCAGGACAGTGGCATTGTGTGAGACGATTGATGGGAGGATCAGTGAGATTGAAAGGCAACTCCAGCAAAATCTCAGTGACTCTCAGCAATCCAAATACGTGATGCCATTCCTGGATGTCTTGGAGATTACCACAGGTGTGGGCAATGCCATGAGTTCAGCAGTCAAGCAGCGGGGCGGAAGAGCCATGGTGTTCAATAATGTAAAACAGTTAGGCATCCAAACCGGACCTACCTCACACCTTTGGAAAATCATTCAGTTCTATGAGCCCAAGCACGTGTGGATTGATGTCCAGCATCCATGGCAGCATCTTCCCGGGCGATCACATTGGCCCGCAGAACTTTTGGCAGAGATCTTCTTGTGTCAAATGGAGAATGGCCGGCGCTTTCACATTCATGGATGGGGGGCCAAGTTTTCTTAAAGATATGCCAGCCGAACTCTGGGTGGTACAAGAAGGAACACTGCAGCTCCGAGCAGGGTGTTCCCGAACGAGGATGCAACCGCAGAACATCATCCACACCACCTCTCGTAAATCATTACAAAAGCTTGATGACAGGATCGAAATTGACAAGCAGCAGCATGCACCCTGCTCCAGCATACACGCACCGACACCACGAGCACCACGAAACACCAGGCAGCCGGGCAATTTTACAGATAAGGTGGCCCATGCACTGTTGGATAAATCTGATGTTCCCTTACTAGTGTCGGAAATTCTAATTGGAGAAGAAAGTAGTGGGAGCAGCGTAGGCCATGATCCAAGCAGGGCAGTGCAACAGCTGTTTAAGCGTCGCCGGTTGAATGGGAAACAAGCAGTGCCTGGACCACAGGAGGCGATTCGTTTACAACCCCAAATCGAATGGAAGGACATCTTTCAGGAAGTTAATAGTGATGTTCCCCCAAAGGGTTGTGTGTATTATCATGAAGGAAGTCCAGTGATTGCATCCATCCAGACACTTGTTCCGCAGTTTGTGGTCAGACATGCTGTGTTTTGCAGGGGAACGGTCCGTGTTCAGGGACCCAAGGCCGGGATAGACATCAATACGATTCCCTTAAGGATGACTACGGTAGTGAAGAGGGATACTGGGTTGGTAGAGGCCGACGGGTCCGTGGAACAATGGACAAAGATCCCGAAGTACCACAGAGCCAGAATAGGGGATTCCAGCAAAGTTCATTGTGACGGTTTTCGGGGTACCCCGGGAAGAACCTCCTCAAGAGCCAGTCCCGAATCTAGCATCAGGGTCGGGGGAAATTGCAGGTCCCAGACCCATGGAAGAAGAACCGTCAGAATCTCCTGTCATTTTTCCGCAACAACCACAGAATCCTGTGGCATTGCCAGAACCAGTGCCAGCACCTGATGTGGCCAGCAGCAGGGATGCAGGAGCGCCAAGGGATGTCCCGAATGGTTTGGAGGTAGGATATCCCCCCAAAGCTATCCCGCGGCATGGGCCCGGGTAAAAAAGGGACATCCCGAAGCAGGCCTGTTCATGAAGTTTCTAACAGAGCGCAAGGCTGAACCTATAAGTTCATCCGTGCCACCGGCGATTTCAGCTGCAGCGCGTGTCTGGAGTCAGTTCCCAATTCCCAAACCCAAGATTGCTAGACTCTCGACCACACATGTGGATGGGGACTTTGGGGATACTTTGGGGATGGACATAGCGTACTGGAAGAATAGCAGGGGCAAGATGTTCATGTTCACCCACGTAATTTGTGAACACACCCTTTTCCACATGGCAGCAGCAGTCGGGCGCACTCCTGAAGAACAGTTTGAGGCTCTGGCCTCTGGCAGATCGATGGTTCTCTTTCGCAGGGACCCCCCAACTTATCTACCGGGGAATACACATCAGCGTATTGGAAGACACAACTTCAGAAAGAGAACATTCGAGCCAAGGTCAGCGCAGGAGAGGCGCACTGGCAGCTAGGGCGTGTAGAGTCACATGACAAAATCATCAAAGAAATGTTGTCAAAGATGGATTCGGAGAGTAGCATTGATGATGACCAAGAGTTTCGTTTGTGTTTAAGGCAAGCTCTTTGGGCCAAAAATTCATTGAGCCGCGTACGT